AGGGCATCCAAGATGTAGGTGTGTTTGTTTACACAGTATTTTCAATTTTAATATTTTTAGGTCAAACCGTTCTTGTCTGTTAGTCATATAATGGAGGCCTATGGTCACCACCTCAAAGAGCATGACCTAAAAATATCAAAACTGAAACTACTGTGGAAACAAAGACACCTACATCTTGGATGCCCTCGAGGTAAGATAAAACATACCAAAAATTAATTTCAAACTGAACTATCCCTTTAATATACAGGTGAACAAACAAAAAAATATCCTATAATGAGATTCCAACAAATGGTCGGGTAACTTTATAAGAAAAGATCTTGATCGTTATAATGCCACATATAATATGTAAAAAACGATAACCTTTCTGTTATTGTTAAATGTATGTGTTTAGAAAGTGAAAGCTTTTTTTTTTTTTTTGGTGACTGTCAGTGCATTGGGTGTAAAATACAATAAAATGTCTATCAGAGGTTCAATAAGATCTGTTTTGTAAAAAGAAAAATTTAACAAACAATACAATCTGTAATGCTGTGAGAAATATATTTTTTCATGCATAATATATATCTCAGATAACCCCACCACTAAACACCAAATACACTGTAAAAAATAATATCAAAAGTTATGACAACATATGGTTTTATATTGCTTTTTAACCCAGCAAAATATGTTTTTTAACCCAGCAAAACAATTTTATTTTATTTTATTTAAGATTTAATTGTTTTTTAATTCAGTTTTAATGTAACTTAAGTTGAAATTACTTAAACATTGTGCAGTTGATTTTACTTAATTTTTTTTTACAGTGTAAAAATAACTTAATAATTGCTTTACACATCAGATGGCCATTTCATCAGTGGACAGTTCTTAGCAATAAACTGAATTATGGACCAGACCTTTTACTGTAGTCGTAGACTATAAGAAAGTGAGATCACATTACATATTTCTTGCAGCATTGCAACACTAGTGTTATAGCAGCCAGTGTTTGCGGTCTGACTGAGAGCGAGTGGAAAGGAAGTTGGTCATTTTAAGGGTATAAACAATTGTGGATGGAAATTACCTGCAACCAACAGTAAGTGTTTCTTTGAAATTGAATTATGGCATGACACATATACACACATCTAAACTCACAGTAGTCATGTCAGATGTTTGCTCGCTTCTACCCGTGTGTCCATATAACTTAGTTTTATCTGACATTTAATGTGAGAATTGTTTTCTTGAGAAAAATAAAATCACAACATACGCCATAAGTTAATAAATATGTGTTCCAATAAGTTTCTAGATGAGGGAATACTAAAATAAATTAGATTTTAAAATAAAATAAAGAGACCTTACCCTGTTGCACACTGACGAAACCCAAGACAAGAGCCAGAACACTGATGGACATCTTCAAGGACAATCAAATATATTTAATATGTTGCGACTGGAGCTCGTGATGCACTTTCTGTAAAGATATTCTCTCTCGATCATCAAGAGGAAGTGAGACCTGTATCGCAGTCATGAATGTACAAGTGTTTTTATGAAACTTTACTCTCAAAATCCTGTTCAAATGACGTCCAGTTTTACACCGATGGCAATCGTGCTGAGAGAAGAGCTTCACCAAGACGGATGTTCAGAGTTCAGATTCATAGTCCTCATGTCTGTGATGGTTAACATTTCCATTTCTTGGTCCAGGTAATAATGCATGTCATTTCTCCATAGATGCATCTGTGCAACACGAGTACTTTGTCTAAAAGTCCACAGTGTCTGAACGTCTCATGATCATCGACTGAATGCAGCTTCAGGAAACCTCCTTCACTTCAACATCATCCACACCTCCACCCACTGAAACAGGTTATATGCAAGTAAACACATGGTTATAGCCAGTTACCTCCACCAGTTAAAGGGATAGTTAATTAATTTTTGATATGTTTTAGTTTACCTCAAGGGCATCCAAGATGTGTCTTTGTTTCCACAGTATTTTTAGGTCAAACCGTTCTTGTCTGTCAGTCATATAATGGCGGTCTATGGTCACCACCTCAAAGAGCATGCACAGAGAAGTCCAAATTAAACATGATTTAATGACTCATAAATGTAAGTACACATTGATGGCCTAAGACACGAAACGAGCGGTTTGTGTGAGAAAACAAACAGTATTTATGTCGTCTTTACCTCTTGTAACCACAGCCACGTCCAACTGATCTGAGGGCGCGGGCGCTTTGAGGCTGTGGTTACAAGAGGTAAAAACCATATAAATACTTGAGTATTTTAATTTCAAAGTGAACTATCCCTTTAACACATCATAAAAGACAGAACCTACATCGTTAGATGTAATATTCAAGTAAACTAGTTTTCAGGTTTTAAATTGGACATCTAACTGCAACTGAACAAAACAAAACAACAAACTGAAGTTTTTCATAGTTAAAACATGTTTTTCTCACCACAAGTGGACCTTTATTTTTTGTAGTCTGGGATATATATGTATATATGTGTATATATATGTGACGAGTGAATGTTGTTACACTAGATTATTGACATAATTTAATCAAGAACAGTATTATTTTACGGGACTTTTATTTTGAAAACCTTTGTTTTGGAAACTCCACAGTAGTTAATGGTTAGGTGATCATAAATGTAATAATTTGCGTTGTTTTCAATTCTTCATACATGTATATTGTTATTTTTTTTGTATTACTTTTGGTTTCACTCTTGATAAAATATTTTTACACTAAATTAAGGAAGCACTATTACGTAAGCTGCGTCATGCGTGAGGGTAATGCTGATGCAATTTGCGTGCGCGCTCTCTCTTTCGCTGGATGTTGTGGCGAGAGGTACGTTTTTATCTGCTCCTCGGAGAAGTGTATAAATATGCTTTATTGAGTGTTGTATAAGGATTTTCTGTAGGTAATGAGTTTAATCGTTGTCTTTTCTGTACTGAGCAATCAACAAGACGGGTTATAAATGTGATAAGAGTATGTTTGATCGAAGTATATTCGATTAATGACCGCAGTTACACGTGCGGTATGCTTGTGAGTTTAGAACAATATATTTTTCATTAACCTGTACAGTTGAATTTAATTTGAGTTATATATTCGTAATTGTGTAAAGTTATATTTGTTTATTTTGAAGGATCCATGCGATGTTCAAATGTATTTTCTGTATATGAATTTACATTGTAGTGTGTTGATTGACAGGCACGGCTAGACCGGAAATGTCCAAAATGTGCTTGACTGTGATCGTGTCTGTTATTTCTTTTGACACAGGTATGTAAATGGATCATTTACTTTTGTCAGTTTTCTATATTTCTTATTTTTCTTTCTTTTTATTACTTCATTTATTTCTATGATTGTTGAGCTCTCTTTCGCTGGATGTTGTGGCGAGAGGCACGGCTAGACCGGAAATGTCCAAAATGTGCTTGACTGTGATCGTGTCTGTTATTTCTTTTGACACAGACACAGCAAGGCTGAGAGTAAAGAAAAACTAAAGTACATCACTGTGTGGAATCTCTTTCTTTAAAAAATCAAACACAACGCAGAAGAAAACCCACTACATATATAGTATAGGGCAGGGGTTCTCAAACATTTTGGTGCCAGGGACCCCTTTCAGGGGAAAAAAAATTCCAAGGACCCCCCTCATATTTATAACAGTTATTGAGCACAAAGTTAATGTGTGAGCGGCAAATGAAATATGTTTGCACAAAATGAATGGTCTCCACCCAGGGTACTATGCAGGAATTTCTAAACAGCCTACTGAGGTAACGAAAGTGATCTTGCTAGGAATCACTTAGTTAGGATCCCTCACTTAGGAATTTTTGATGTTCTTGATCTACACATGTGCATTTTAAGGTGTTTTAAGGCCCCACAATTGGATAACTATAGATTTAGTAGAAGCATGTCAGTCAGTGGCATACATTTTTTTTTTGTCAAGATGTCACGAAACACAATCACATATTCCAATCAGGAATGGCCTTAAAAGAGAAATGTTTCAATAATTAGGCCTATTCTGCACACAAATAAAGCCCATAAGCCTATAAATACAATGATAATGGCATTATGTTTAATAGGTGCGTGCGTTGTTAATTTGAGCTACTGTAATTAGCTAAAAAAAAAAAAAAACATACAGTATATGTTAAATATATGAATCCATAATGTTAATCTCATGGGCACAGTATGTTTCTATTGACCTGCTTTTTCCTTTGTTAAAGTTGAGCTTGATTAATACTTTGCAAGCTGATTGTTTCAGTCGTTTTTTAAAACTTTTATCTAAAACAGCTGTTTAGTTTATGTTAATTAAGGCCTACATCTTATCTCGCACTTTATGACCGTTGACTGAAACGTCGTGCGGGGAACTTTGAGTTCACTCCGACTCAAACATTTTGACATTGACGAGCTATCGTTGTTAGTCTGCTGAAGCACCTCAGACGAGAAGGTCAGTATCATCGCGATGTGCATCCTTGCAACCTCAGTTGTGGGTACGGCCCTGTCACTATGCACTTTTATTTTGATAATGATCAGACTTCTAATGTCAAATCTACAGTAGCAGTGCTAGAACTGACTGTGCGCGCACGCGAGACGCCGGCGCGCAATTATATGGGAATTTTTCCTCAGCAGTGGAAACAGGAACTCTTATTTATGGTCATAGATAAGACAAGAGTGTATCATCCGAAACGGTAAAGTGTCCATTTTTTTATTTGTGTATAGGCTACATTATAAATGACTACAAAATGTCATGCCTTTTAAAAATACAGAAAAGAACCGGATGCGGTTTCATGCCGTCTCTCTGTCTCCTTTCTGGCGCACGTCCCGCAAAATCAACAGCAGCGAATAGTCTACTTGACGCAAAGACATAGATTATCTATCTATAGAAAACTTTAAGTGTCTACTTTGTATTGTTTTATGTTAAATGCTTTATATAAGTTACTTAGGAATAAACAGCATGTTTTCAGATGATAAAGAAAACATGACTCATAGCATGGAAAAAACCGTTAGGTTGTAAATTATTTCGCGGACCCCCTGGCTTTAGCTCGCGGACCACCAGGGGTCCGCGGACCCCACTTTGAGAACCACTGGTATAGGGTATATACTGTGAATAAAGCAATGACATTTAATCCATTATTGGATAGTAAATGAGTGACCTCATTGTCTGTTTTGCAACACTATCGCTCTGAGATTTCACAGCATGATCTAAAGAGTTATAAAGGAAGTTGATGTTTGTTTTTTTTTTTTCTGTGGTTTCTTTAAGTGTTGTATGTAAATTAATTTCGTTAGTTGAATGAACCAAATGACACGAAAAAAGATTAATTCATTTTGATGAACGAGTTCGAACAGGAGAGTTATGAACACGCATCACAGAACAGAGCAAGGCGACCATTTGAGCTTTTTAAAACTTATATTTTTTTTAAATGGCCGATCGTTTCGCTTGATAAGACCCTTATTCATCGTCTGGTGTCGTTTAAAGCCCTTTGAACGGTTTGCACTGAAACTGTCTTTTGGACTTTGAACTGTTTGGACCCCATTGAAGTCCATTATATGGAGAAAATCCTGGAATGTTTACATCAAAAACCTTAATTTCTTTTCGACTGAAGAAAGAATGACATGGACATCTTGGATGACATGGGGGTGAGTAAATTATCAGCAAAAGTTTTTTTTTTTTTTAAAGTGAACTAGTCCTTTAAGTATCTTCAAAAGTTTGTGAAAAGAATATAGTGCGATCACATTTTCTTCTCTAGTCACTGTATGTTTACTGTTTATCATTAAATGACAGAACACATTCAACAAATTTAATTTTTAATTCTTGGATTGCTGTATTAGCTACTGTGAAGCATCTATAAAATATAAAGTGGCAAACTTCAAAATGCCAATTTCTTGTGTAATTTATAAGAGCAACATTTGCGAATATGCTGATGATCACTACTGAGAGTGAGACCATGTTGAGCACGGAGTCAATAATTAGGGGAGTATCGCATCAACAATGCAGGCAGAAAAAAAGGAAAAAGCGCTGCGGTGTTATTTACAAAACATTAGTTTGCAGAGAGGAAGTAGTCTAATTAAGGGAGGAACCGGTGAAACAGCAGCTCTCGGACAGCAGACACACAGGTGAGTGCATTTGAGTGTTTAAGAGTTATAGGGTACATGGGGTAAAAGGGTGTAGCCTATGAAAATGTGTGCTAAGTTGTGCCTTTAGCCCAGTGTCAAAGACATATGGGCTGCAACATTAAACTTACTTTTACAAAACATAGGCTAAGACAACAAAAACATAAATTATTATCACGACGGAATGGATAGCGAACTTAAAGAGTATAATTTCATTGGTAAAGCGTCATAAAACACAGTTTTGCGATCTTTCTAGAACATTCTGGAACCTCGCGCGTCCGGCATCATAGATATCATATGTCCATGTCCGCCATGGCCTGGATCAAATTACAGCAGTAATTCGCGAACATAAAATAAATACACAATAAGAATTACCTTTAGAACGATAAACAGTTAATTTAACATAAATGAAATTATGTTATAAAATTGAAATTAAATTATGTTATATATATTTAAAATTACTTTTAACATACATTTTAGTTAGGAAATCACTTCCGCCAAACAGGTAGGCAGTGACGTTATACGTAGGGAAGGCCATTGGGAAGGCTCTGCTGCGGACAGGTAGGCTCACCTTGCTACGCACTGTCTTTTTGATTCGGCAAGGGAAGCAGTAAACATCAACAATACTGCCACAACAAGAGTAGACGACAATGCTTGATACTAGGACGCTCATTGCAGGTAAAACTAGTGTTCAAAATGTTTGTTTTTTTGTGGAAAATATTTTTTCATACGTCGCTGTTTTAAATAAAAGTATAATGCTTGTAATAGTATTAAATAAATATGGTTTATTTTTTGATCTATATAGATCAGTGTGTGCTATTGTTTAGCGCTTTATTGTTTGCTCGTTCAGAATTAAACGATAAAATAGTCATTGAAAGAATGTGCTAAAAAGAACTGTGAGAGATTGAATGTGCTTACGGGTTGTGCTAAGCCCCGTCTGCATGCACGTTCTTAACCCGATTATTCTTAATAAATCGACAAAACGTGTGGTCTCCTTTCATAGACATGGTCTCCCTTTATCGGAGAATGTCATATTGCGGCTTAAGCAAGCATAAATCGATCAAAACAGCATTTTTGTCCTATTTCCGGGGTCCTCATTCATTGCACCGGCTTGTAAAACAGCACGTGTGTTCTTTTCTGGTCCGCTTGAAGTGCGCACTGCGCAGGTCGGATATGACGGGGCGGAAAGCTTCCGAATCAAAACTCTGAATCTTTCTTGACCCAAGAAAAAAAAAAGTTCTGATCGTGTGCTGCCGAAATAGAAGTGGTGCAGTCGCAAACACTCCATCTGTTGCGTGAGATGATTGCTGTGTCATCGTCCGTTCCCATCCATGATACGATGTCAGGTGTCGGCCATTTTGTAGTAGTGTCTCCATCATGGTCTCAATGAGTGAACTGATGCTAAATAAACTGATTGTTTAAAGAAAGTAAAAAAAAAAAAATACCAATATTTTTTTTCTTTGGCTTTCAGGTGTTACCAGTTATGATAAGACTTTAATTGTAATGACTATTATAATAACTGCATTATACATATGGTATGATGCTGATATTATGCAGTTTATAGGGATAGTTCACCCCAAAATTAAAATTAGCCCATGATTTAGTCACCCTGAAGCCATGCTAGGTAGGTGGATATGACATTCTTCTTTCAGACGAACTCAGAGTTATATTAAAAAATGTCCTGGCTCTTCCAAGCTTTAAAATGACAGTGAATAATCGGTTTGTGTTTCTAAGTCCACAAAAGTGCATCCATCCATGATATAAGTGCATCCATCCTTAGGCCTTCTGAAGTGAAGCAATGCGTTCCTGTAAGAAAAATATCCATATTTAAAACTTAATCGACTAAACTAGCTTTCGGCAGATGACCGTACGCAATCGCATCGATTTACGTTGTATGTCAAGTCCAAGGGTGGGTTACTCTTGGTGTAAGTTGATGCGTACGGCCTTCTGACGGAAGCTAGTTATTTTAGTCGATGGGCAGCGTTCCTGTTAAAAAAGTTAAAAATATCACCCTGCACCAACTTAAATTAGAAAGCTTTTTAAACTACTCCTAACCACCTTTACTATTTACTTTTTGACTCACCTGAATTTATCATTGATAATCTATTAAGGGAATAGATTTTTTTTTCACTAAAGAAATATATTTTTTTAATCATTGGTCTAATGAGAAGCCAGCAGTGGTCTTGCCTTTTATTGTAACAAACACCATAGTTAAACAATTACAAGAACTACAATACTTTTTCATATGGCCAAGTACAAGTTAGCAAGAGCTTTAAAGTCTGGACTAAATTATTGATTAAACAATTGGTTTTCCCCATGTGTAAAATGTGTTAATAATGACAGATATTAGGAAAAAAAATAACCTGGCTTTCAGATATGACATGAAATTAAGATTTTCAGTAAAGTTAGTTTGACCTACCATGGCACTTTGATTAAAAAAATTCTGTCAAACTAAAATACATCATATATATCCTATGTTAACAAGTAATGTTTAACTAGGCTATCACTTTATTGCCGTAATGTTATAATCCAAATGTGCATGTTTGGATGATACCACAAAAGACATTTAGCATAAAAATAAATAAACACAAAGATAAAAAGTCTCAGGAGGGATTCAAACCAAAACGTTCTGGTTGCTATCCACAAGTTTCCGAGGGGCGCTCCTGTAAAAAGTAAAGTGGGTGAAACTTCCGGTGACGCGGCGGAAGTAGCATTCCAATGGTATTTTGTGTGTTAGTTAGCGAAGAGGCTAGCTGTTTTTCGGAGAATTATTTTACTATTTAAAGACGCAAATCTTTATGAGAGATGTCGTTACGGAGCTCAGGGACAACATGTGCTGCTCGCGGTTGTATGTATAACCGGACTAAACTAATTTAGTGGCTTAAACGGGATTGTTTTGAACATAAGCTGAAAACGAAATCAGAGTGATCCTGCCAGAGCCCGTCTCTGATCCTGCCAACGACTGTAGTTTCCATCACCTCACAAAAGATGACGAATCTTCCTGTGTACATTTGTTTAAATTCTTAATGTTCTATAAACTATCAGCATGTGTTTGGCTGTTCTCTACTGATGTTACACCTAAACTCAGGATCAAAGCCTGTGTTGACAGAATACCAAATGTGCCAGTTAATGTATTCAAGTAGCACATTCATTTATAATTTTGAATAAACTCCAAAGCACAATGACTAAGTGTGTATTTTTTATTTGAATTGTTTGTCAGCTCGCACAACTGTCTGTCATCATGCCTTGATGAGTATTGATTATTAATAATGTTATTATAATACTCCCAATCAACTACTGCGGAGGGTAAAGGTACTGTTATTTCACCCTTTTTAATTTGGTTGAGGTTGTGTTCCCACATCGTTAGCTAGTTTGGATCGCTATAACTTGAATGACTGTCAACTGTTGAATGAACGAGTGTCAAGCATGTCAAATCGTGCTTTGTTTACTTCCAACCGGAAGTCGCGCCCACTTTTGACGCAAGGCCTCATGGGGCGTAGGAAACTTGTGGATAGACGAATCCGACGAGCGTTCTGTGTAGGCTGCCATCTTGTGGCGACGCCATTACTGAGCTGTTACACAGGCATATAGACATATGCACCGGTATGTAAACAAACCTCGGTGATAACGCGAACTCACCCTCGATGACAGCTACAGACAGGCAGAATGACTTGTTGGTTTGATCTGTGACTGCAGTAGCCTCCAGTCACAGATGAAGGTACAAACGATCTTACAGATTAACGTTTTATGAAAATAGCTTGGCAAGCTAGCTAGGCTAACGTTTGCTAACGAGGAAACTATAAAAAGATCTGTCCATTTGGCAACAATAAATAAATAAATGAATGAAATCAAATAAACAAATTCATGTTTTTCATTTGTGTCCATTATTTATCTCATTTTCACATTGCAACAGGCATGGGTAAGGTAACGTTACAGCTAGAAAGTATACATAATATCGACCAATTAGTGTTTTTAAACCATGGAAAGAGATCAATATAACAGCAGGAAAACAATTATGTCACATAACATTACATTTAGCTCAGGAAAGCCATTTAATGACCATAGCATGTTAATTGAATAGAAAAAAACAGCAAGAGAGGAGATTTTGCTTATCACTATATCACATATTTATTATATTTTTTTTACTCATGTCATTAAATAATTGTTATTATACGCGAATGTCCACGTCTTGTACTCGCCCAGGAAATCTGTAAACCGTACGGCACCAGACAGGGGCAGTCGACCCGGGGTATTCACAATGTTTTCTCATCAAAATTTAAATTTTACTGCCACCATTGAAACAATTTATAACGGAAACTGTTTACCCACTCGACATTATACAAGGGGTAACGTTGTAACGTTAGTGACAGTCGTAAATCGCGGGCTACTAAAACAATAGGAGGCAATGGCGCAACGCTACCCAGCAACAGCTCAGTAATGGCGCCCCGCTTACTTCCGGTAGTTTCGCCGGATTCGTCTATTGGTTTCTATTCTTAACTGAGTGAAAGTTTACTGAAGTCACTTGTTTCATGATGCTTTAATACAGTGCATGTCTGTTAGTTTACTTAGCAGATTTTGTGAGGTTTCAATCTGTGTTTGTTACAGGGCTGCTGCTGCTCTGCGGGACCTGCATTGGGTATGGGTTTACATCCCATCCCTCTGCGTTGAGCCGACCAGATGAACCAGTTCTTTCCCGTGCTGACGGTCTTGTGAGTGAGGACAAAACCTACATCAAGAAACTCTGCGAAATTCCTGAACTGAGAAAGGATGATCAATTGATTGTGCAAAAAGGAGATACGATTGTTGGACAATACTTCTGCGACAATTGGAACTGCACAGTTAATTATTGTGAGAACTGCTTTGAAATTAGATCAGGATATTTGTTTCTGATCTTGCACAACATCGGTCCCTTGGATCAGTTTGATGCATTCCTAAATGCTAATAAAACACCTTTTCTACCGAACTTCACTCTTGATGAAGGTGAGAACTGATTTTATTGCAAACAAAAAATGTACATTACAGATAGTTTATAAGACAGTCACGGTACCTGTCATTACTAGTGAAATACCAGTGAAAGTTAACAATTCTCAATAACAATTTTGATATTTTAGCAAACAGTAATATGCTATTGCAAGACACATTTCAAAAGATGCATTTTATTTAATAGAAATATGCACAAATGGAAACACAAACTTCAGGTTTCTTAAGCAATTCAAATAAACAGTCTAATTTAAGTTATATGTGCATGTTAATTTTGTCAGATATATTACTGTTCATCACAGCGCACCACATCCAGTGTTTCTGCATTACTGATTATAACTGGGTCTTTTGGTGTGTCATTCCATGCTACTCGCATCTAATACAAACACTGTTCACTTTCCTAAATGTGGAAGTGCTATTCATAATTGCTAGGAGTATTCTAGTGGTACAGGAGGCCATAATAGGGTTAGAGGTCATACATTTTTGTTATGACAGTCTTCAATCATGAGAGCAACATTTGAAGAAAGTTGAGAAACTGTTTTTTAAACTCCTATAATGTTTTTTGTTCTTGCTGTACTTTACAGAGCCACAAAACATTCCCACAATCTCTGAAGAACACACGGGAGAGACACCGTCTACTGGAGAGACACCGTCTACTGGAGCTATTGTGGGCATGGCTGTTGGAGCTCCTGTATTAGCTCTTGTAGCTGCACTAGTTATTGTAGATTTTATAATTCTTAGAAGACCTGGACGAGATGCAATAACAACTAAAGCCTTCAAATCTCTCCTAAGGGTAAGTATCACAGCAGGATCATGGTTTGCTTTGCTCATTTAAAGCTTTGTTTAGGAAGACAATAAATTACAGGATCATTTATAAGTGTCCTAAACATTTTGTCCATGGATTATTTGCGTAACAACATTGCTTATGTTGCTGCTTGCATTATTATTATTATTTTAACTGGATTGACATATTTTGTGGCTTCTAGTCCAGGTGTTTTAGCTTTGATATATCATCTGTATTCTATATATCTATATATCATATGACTTTAGATGACTTAATGAGCTGTTGTCAGAGTTCACTGGTGTTCATATGTTTTATTGTTGAATATAGTATGAATTATATACACTTGAACAGTCACACTTGCTGTTCTTTTTGAAAAGCTTATTTGTCACAATAATTAAATGCATTTTAATCTTGATTGATTTGCAGAAGATTTGCAACCGAGAGCCAAACCAGCAGGTGGAGAATCCCATAGAGATGGAAGTTTTCGTGCCAAACCCAAGTATGTTTCATTAATCAGTTGTGAATTATAAATCAGGGACATAAAAACAGGTTTAAGTAATGTTTGCTATAAGCCAAGCTCAGCTCCTGCCAGCCTTCAATGATTTGTGATCAGTGTTTACACCTGTTGCACCATCTAAAGCGGATTAGACTCAGTGATGGCCAGTATAGATGTGCTCATCCAGCCAATCTACCGCAGTGATTAACGATGTTCACGTCGTTAGGATATTTCCTAAAAGTGTGAGTGACTTGCATTCATCTTTATTACAGTAGCAGATATCAGATCAGTGGACGGATGAGAGACCTCAACTAATGTATTACAAATATCAAAGTGTTCATTTGAATTCTGAATTCAGATTTCTGTTTAATTTATTTGTATAGTTATTCACTCTGGTTTTGTAATTATGCTGTACCGTACAATATTATCTTTTTATTACAGTAAAATGATTCAACAGTTTTAACATCATGTATTTCATAGGTGTTTAGATAAAAACTTAAACATTATTACATAAAACTTAAACATTTAACACAAAAACAGGCAGTGCGACGTCTAGAAGGTGAAACGGGTATTAATTCTGTGTAGTGTGTAGATGTTTTACATCCAGTCTAAGTTTACATTCGGCTGATGTTAGCTGCTGTGTGCAAGTAACAATTTAGCCTAGTTTTGATGTAAATGAACACAATAGCCGCGTTTCCACTGCCGGGCTAGGGCTGGGCCAGAGCTAACAGCGAGCCGGGCCGAGCTAGTGGCCTCGGGCCTCAAGCACCGGGCTTGCGTTTCCACTGCCGGGCCAGTAGCCCCACAGCGCTGCCCCAGACCCCACCCCTAACACGCCTTTCTGGATCAAACGTCATAAAACCCAACCCATTTCAGCGGGTATTATGAATTAATTTATTTTTTAAATTAGGAAGATGGCATGTATATTAACTCACCTGCTGTAGTGGCTGCAATAGTGTCCCGAGACCAGTACAGGCGATTCTCCATTTCAAGCAGCGATTTTTTGCGCGATATAACAAGTAGGGCTGCGGGCACGTTTTCAAGTTATTCATTAATCGTTAACCGAGGCCCATCGGTTAATACTCGGTGCATAGTGTGCGCGCCGCAACCTCGAGATACAGAGTAAATTTTTAACACCTTTAATAACTGATTGGACCCCATTTGAAACGAAATTAATTTATAGAAATAAAACGCAGCAAGTACGGAGCAGTTAAAGCCCCATTTCCAGCCACAATTCAAACTGAAATTGCCAATTGAAAATAAGCAAAACGTCCATTTCACAAAAACTCCGTGTCTGCAAATAATAATAATAATAATAACCATCATCATCATTATTGTAACATTTTATTAGGCTGCATATGTAGAAGACGCCTTTATCCAAAAAAGGAACAGAGCACAAATAAACACAATATTTTTGACAAATATCAGCGCATATCCAGTGGAGCACGCACTGATGGCTGCGAGACGCCCATGTGAACAGTTTCATTGCATTTCTTTTAGTGGAAACAACTTAAAATACTCTTTAATTTCTGGTCATACAGAAAATAATAATACATTATTCGCAAATAAATTTATTTATAACAAGAAAACGTTGTGCTTTAACAATTAATCAAGGCGCGCTTCATGATCTCCGTGAATTGAAGCGCGAGACCTGAAACAGCCACCGCATTCGAATTTGTTCGTTTTAAATTGGACATTTAAAGCTTTAGTCTACAGGGGTTTTATCCTTTGTAGATTAAAGCTTTAAATGTCCAATTTAAAACGAACAAATTCGAATCGAAAGCCAATATCTTCTATGTTTATGTAGCTTAATTTCTCTCTAAATGTGCATCCGGAGATGGAGATATGTTTTTAGCCGAAAATCATTTAGAAAACAATAGTTTATTAATAAACAATTAATGCCTCATTATTTTATATTATTTTATTATCAGACACATTTATTATAGCCTATAAATCACCCATAAATCCCCTTTCTGTAGGCTGTGGTTACGGCTCTTCTCATTCAGCACTGCGGGGAAAATATCATTTCCAGGTTCTAATTTGGCCTCAGAAAACCAGTAAAATATATATTTTTTTCATATTAATTTGTCAAATATTTTAAATGTTTAAGGGGCAAAAAAATCAAACAAATATCTGAAAATTCGTCGATATGTAGCTATATATAGCCTATATATTGTTGCGCAGCATTTGGCATAGGCCTACAGTTCAAATTAAAATGTTATGCAATTTTAAACGGTTAATCGGTTAAACATGGACACCCCTATGTGCATCTTGCTTCAGATCATAACCATAACACCGATAAACTCCGCCTTTTACCTTGAGCACGCCTCTAGCCCGAGCTGGCCCCCTCTGGCCCAAGGTATTCGACGGGCCAGAAATCCTGGCCGTTGGCCCTGAGGAAGCCCCGATCAAGCCCCGGAAGTGACAGTGGAAACGCGACTGGCCCTGGCACGCACTAGCACGGCCCGGCCCTGGCCCGGCAGTGGAAACGCGGCTAATTACTCACTATTAAATATTTTTGTGTTGCACCATTAAACTTAGCTGATGCGCAACTCTGTTGAATATAGGAAATATTTGCGTAAACCTCCGATCAGGAGAACTGTTGGATTAAAATAGCAGACAGACCGAACTGCATCAATGAGCTCTTCTTTTACCCGACATTATTTTAAGAGAGAGAACATTATGAATTAACTTGCTTTGTTAGTGGCTCTACAACACGCACCCGTCCTACAGCGGCTCTGTGTACACCGCTCCTATTGTGCATGTCAAATAAAATGAGTCATAATTAAGAAATATTTCATTTATTTTTTTGTATCCGTATTTGATTTACTCGTTTAGTTCAAAATACAGTTTCTGAATGTTATTTACATATAAAAACACCTTTTATATTCAATTATTTTTTACCGTTAGTTACGTGAGGCAAAGATAGTTAGAATAAAGAATAAGCTCAAATTCACAACATTTAAACAACTTCTGCTCATGTATTTGAAGGCCGCTATTGGTTCATTTGAGAGTAAACGGCATGTTATGCGACTAAGCATTACTTTAATGAGAGTTTATGACTTTCTGACACTAATGGTGCAAGCGAATAAAGTTCAGAGTTAATTACAAACTAGCAAGTAGTATAGTGTGGACTTTAAATACGTTCCAATTTAAAGCTGCAGTCTGTAAGAATGACAACTCCATATGTGTTTTGAGTGATCTTTACCATTATTTCCACATGTTTCATACAATTTATGAAGTAGGCATCCTATTCAGAAGTAGTCAGGGAACTTTGGCAGATTTTGATATGAATTCAACCTGTAATAATCACATAAAAAGAACACGCAAGTGCGTTATAGCTCGAATGGTGAATCTATAATTTTTTTTTCTTTATATTTAAAATATTTTCAGACCTTTTAAAAAAAAATTAATGGATGTTATCTTTTGAACTATTGACATGAAAACAATTTTTTTTAATGATTTTTATGTTCATCACTATTTCAAAATAAAGGTCACGCCTTAAGCCCCGTTCACACCGCTAGTCTCTGTACTGTGAAGTGGCTTGTGGGCGTTCGTGGTGCTGTCGCTCTACTGTTATTGGTAGACTGCACATCTGGACATATCTATACACAAAATACGATCACAAGTGTGATATATAGCCTACAACTATATCATTTTAATTTGACTAGGAATTGGGCTCAAAAGAAACAGTGTGCTGTTGGGAGTTTTGAAATTCCTCAACTTTCGTCTCTTTGACGCGCCCACATTCTGTCGCTCGTGTCGCCGGAAGTCGCCAGCGCTCTGTTGAAATGAATAGGATCATGTCGCTTTGTCGCTGGGGGTGTGAACAGGGCTTTAAAAGTATGAAAATATCCTTGTTGCAAATTGATGATTACGGCTCTTCTATAATTTATTTAGAAAAAACTACCAAATATGAAAACTACAGATTGTAAGCTTTGAAATGATGTATAGTATAGGATAATACTGTTTTAAATATGGGTGACAGTTTACTTGAAGGGGTGTGCATAAGACACTACTGCGTTTTCGTTTAAAAACTGAGACCTTTTGCTACGTTTGCACCTCCCGTCCAGACTAAAACGGGAAAAACGAAGACCTAAAACAGAAGTTTAGAAACGCCGCAGCTCCGTTTTTCGTTTTGAATCTCCGGAGGGCGTTTTAGTGTGGACGAGACAAAACGGACAAAACGTAGGGGTTCAGAAAGGCTGACGCAGAGGCTGACGCTCAGCTCCATGATTGGGTGTTACCAGTCATGACGTATCCTTCCCTGATTCGTCAATCACTGTTTACACCGGCACGCGCATGCCCAGTGTTGGTGAATGGTCACGTGATCCGCGTTTTCAGTCGTTTTAATGTGGACTGAGATCATTTCTAATACGCGGATAAAACGCTGGTGTGGACGGAGATCGTATTCGTTTTAATTCTCCGCTTTTAAACGAAAACGCAGTAGTGTGGATGGGGTGGACACCTTCATAATCATGACATGACATATGTCTTGAATATATGAAGTAAGGTTTATGCATGTTTGTGGTAACTGTCATTAAGTGTCATTCCCTCAGTTACGATATTTTGAATGCAAATATGACATTGTTTGAGGTCTTTGTTATGACATCTTGACATAAACCGATACATCATAACCTGTCAGTGTCTTTGTCATGACAACTTGACATTAAATGAAGTTAAACTGTCATGTGGTTGGCTTTAACATTGGCTGTCATGAGGCATTATAACTGTGTCATGAATATTTTTCGTGACCTCAACTACAGTGGTATTGAATTATTGAATTTGTCATTAAAAAGTTATAATGGCCTCATGACAGTCAATGTCAAAACCAACCACCTGACAGTTTAATGTAATGTTAACCAATAAAGCTAGGTGGTTTCTTAAGTTGATCATTAATCTGCTATGTCATGTTTGTGTTGTCTTAGTAATGTCAAGTTGTCATGACAGGTTATGATGTCTTTGTTATGACATCTTGACATAAAGCAATACATCACAAACAATGTCATATTTGCATTAAAAATGTCATAACTGAGGGAATGACACTTGTCACAAACATGCATAAAACTTTCTTCATATTCATAATATGTCATGTCGTGGTTATGAAGGTGCCATGTTAGTCTTATGAACACCCCTTTAGATAAAGCGTTACCTAAATATGTAATGGCTACGGTGATTAAGGGGTTCAGTAAGAACTTATGATTGACTGGTCCTCATCAATAAATGAGGAAGTTTTACTCCTTAAGGGCAACACTAATGATCTACAGCTCTACATGCAAGGTCCTCACAAATTGTTGAATTCCATAATTACACATTTTGTTTGATAATTTGTCATTTTTCTCATTACAGATCAAGTGTGAGAGGCCAAATGTAGGAGGGTCAATGAGCGACGGCTCGTGGTACCATCACAAAGACCCACAAAATCACTCCAGAACATTCTCATTCACGGCTCCATGCTGGAAGGATCTCCCCGTCCCGTCCGGCAACTGAAGACTCATCTCTTTCGTGAGCACTTAACATAGAAGAGACTTTCTTTCCTTTTCTTAAATCCTTTTGTTTAATCCTCCCTTGTCTTGTTTATGCTACTTTGAGCAATGCCTGAACTTTGTATTTTGAGCACTTCTTGAGTTGTTTTTGCCTCAACTCAACTTTATTCCTCAATTGTAAGTCACTTTGGAGATTCGTCTCTCAAATGGCTAAACGTAAATGTGCTGGGAACCTTGAAGTGTAGTACAGCACTGTCCTTCGGTGCAATACAGTATTGTGCAAAAGTTTACAAATTCACAGGTGACATGATTCCTGTGTTTTAACCTTAAGTATTTATTTCTTTTTATTATGTGGAATATCGTGTTTTAAATAAGAAGAATTTTGTCTTTGTATTTCATATGAAGGATGAAAGTTACGGTACACTGTGAAAAAAGCTCTGTCCTCCATTTTGGATCTTGAATGTATACATTGAATGTATTTTATCTTGTAAAGATTGTGAGCCAATGCCGTTTTATTGATTTAATCTTTATGCTGTTTTATTTATTTTTTTTTAAATTTGCACATCATTAGATAAAGAAATTATTAGAGCTGTACCAATATTGGTGTATAACCAATCACACCAATAATAGTAACAATGGGAAAAATAAATTAGACATTTCAGTTTATTGTTCCAATCAGTTTATTGTTCCAATCTTTTGAAATCACTTAAACTGGTTGGGTAAGTAAGCTGGCTGAAAAACAACAAATAAAATATAAAATGAACAGAATAAATAGAGTAATTTTTTTTTTTTTTTTTTTAAATAAATTTATCATGACACCATTATAATCAGAGGTGGAAACTGGCTAAAATAATTCTGCTTTTTTCAAATGTCTACAGCAAGTCTACTAATATTTGATCATTTAATGCATTGGCATAATGTTAATACTACTTCTATGGTTATAACCCAACCGTAGGTACTGCTACTGTTATGATTTAGCCTAACCGTAGCTAAAAGATTAAAAGTAGGTTAAAAAAAGTGAATGTACTACTTTTTAGCTTATCTAAACTAGTAAAAAAAAAAAAAAAAAAAAAAAATCATATAGCTATATATATATATATATATATATACATAAAAAAAATGTTTTGCTACTTGATTCATCTCTGCTCCTGGAGACTTGCAGTCCTGCACAGGTGTGTGTGAGTTGAACTCTGCAGGAGTGTGAGTCTCCAGGAGGAGGGATGAAGAACTTTGCTTTAGCTTTCCCGATTGTGCTCCAGGTATATTGAGCCTACCTATGGCCCTGTGCACAATACTAAGTACATTTATTTAGTTTGAGAAGACTTACCTCTCTATACTGGGCTTTCTTTTTATCTTGTTGCTTTGTCCGTTTTCATCCCTGTGCACCAGAGGGTTTTTAGACCGCTTCTTTTCCGACACGTGTCACCCATGGCAATCGCCTAGTTCGCCTATAGCAATCGCTGGCCCTGAGCCTTAGTTTTTCATTTTGCTGCACTAGAGCAGTCTGCATGGGATTGAGTTTATTTTTGTGTTTATCAGTCTCTGGGAACATACCAATAAAAATAAATAAGCACTTTCCACCTTTGATTATAATATGTGAGAAACAAGTAAAATAGATAAAATTTACACCATGTTAGGGTTGTTGTCTTGCCAGTTCAATGCTGTGTGTGTGTGTGTGTGTGTGTGTGTGTGTGGTAAATTTATGGAAAAAGACTTAAGTAATTTTTGTAATCTTTTGCACATGTTTTAAGCAGATTTGTCAAAATATATTTTTAGGATATGTCTTTGCATTAAATGATATTTGCATTAAAGCAGAAATGTGTTATTGCCTTTTTATTGCTTTAGTTATTCAACACCTGTTGAACGTCTAAGTCAATGATTATTCAATAAACTTTTTGTGGCAGTGGTTCATGTGGGTTGTCTTCAAACCGAAAGGTTGGTGGTTCAATCCCCGGTTCCACCTGACCAAGTGTCGAGGTGTCCATGAGCAAGACACCTAACCCCAGCTGCTCCCGACGAGCTGGCTGGCGCCTTGCATGGCTGACACCGCCGTCGGTGTATGAATGTGTGTGTGAATGGGTGAATGTGTGGCAATATGTAAAGCGCTTTGGTGGCCATTAGGTCTATGAAAGCGCTATATAAATGCAGTCCATTTGCCATTTTGCTTTTTTGTTTCCCGATTCCCCAAAACAACACTTGGTTTGAACTTTGAAGACTTGGCCTTTGAATTTAGGCTTTTATTCCCATATAAACTTCCCCATGCAGTTTCTTAAAAAAATCTGGACTAAACTGCTCAATTCATATGTTAATATTTCATGATTAGTTTTACAAACTTTTTACGAAGTGTAAAGTGGTATATCTGTCAATGGAGGGACAGAAAGCTCTCAGGTTTCATCAAAAATATCTTCATTTGTGTTCTGAAAATGTTAAAAAAAGAACGATATAAGGGTGAAAAATTAATTAGACAGAATTTTAAACAAATTAATGGCACAAGTAAATAAAAAGTGTATTTAATACAGTTTTTATTAAATTAATTTTATTTTAAATCAGTTTTAACAAATTAATATTATGGTATAACATCTAGTACATGCAGATAAAACATGAGAGCAGGTTTGATTTAGGTTACATAAACTGAAGTTGATTTAATATAAAATGTGTGTAGGTCTATAGGAAAGTAAAAGCAGTGTTTCTTATAGTTTGTATATAGCCTACTGCAACATATTTCACATATTATTTTTTTAATTTACAAGGAAATGCCAGAAAAATATCTTTTATTATGATGTGTTGTGGGACAATCTAATAATTGTGATTTCAATTTAACCTTTGATTTAATTGTTAATCTTTATGCCGGCAGTCAATAACATTATCAATGAGTATCAATAGGCTTTATGCCGTGCGTCACGTGATCAAACCGGAAAACGGGTCTCATCGCATCCGGTTGTCAGAGAAAGTGCTAACGGCCGTAAGAACTGACTACGATATCTATGGATATTTAAGGTAATCAGCTAACCTACCTAGTTTACTTTGTTATTGGCGTTTTATTCCATTTAAATATCTAAACGTTACTGTGAAGAATAAAAAAATATAAAACGTTTAAATATCAATCTGCACATGTGAGGGATATTGGTTATGCTAATCTTTGCTCGCTCCTTTTAAAGGCCATGGTGCAGGTTTTTTTTTTTTTTTTTTTGGCAATTTTCTAGTTGGTAATAAACATTTAAACAGTTATCCATTGTATCTGATGTTGTAGGGTACTCAAAAATTAAACTATAACACGGAAAAGTGGGTGAAATGTTAGCTTTTAGCTAAAGCTAAGCGAGGATTCTTATTTCTCCCACAATGCATTCCATGACGTCACATGAGGCACTCGCTGACTGTTGGACGACAGACAGCCCCGCGGCCCGCCTACCATTTTGAGGGAGAGTGATACGAGGAGTTTAAGTTAGCTAGCTAGTGAAGCAGTGACACTGACAGTGACAGATTTATAAGTAAATATAGATAGATAGATCTTCCGAAGCTGGGTGCAGTTTGTCAAGATTAGGCGAGCAGATTTTTCAGCTAAGTTAACGTTAGCTCTGTCGCCGCCTACTCGAGAATATGCAGCGCGCATTTCAAAGAGGAGGATAACCACTCAGGGGATGCCAAGATGGTCTTACTTCACTTGGATTAAAGAGTGAGAGGAGTGCTAAATTACTTCCAACCGCACTGCCGTCTGTGAACGCAAACCTCTCTGCTTGCCCTGTCCCGAGGTCGAGAGACACCGTCTGCCGCAAGCGAGAAATTGCCACGGTAAGCATCATGCTAACGTTAATGTTTACAAGCTGCATGTTAGCTAGCTCTGTGTGTATTTTGTATAACTACCGTGTTCCCTTTGAAATAATAGCCTCCACTACAAGCACGATCACTATGACATTAGAAGAGCATTTTTCGTGATTCACGAATTTGAGCCAAAACAAAATTGCCCAGAAGTAAATGTCCATATTGTCATGAAGGCTTCGTGGCTAGTGTTTGGATCAGTGGTGATGATCATCAAGCGGCTTTCGCAATCGTGTGTTTGCGTTTTGTTATAACGTTAGACTGCTACTGTTCTCTTTTTCATTGACCGTGTCGTCAGGGCTGTAGTGGAGGCTAAATGCAGTTTACCTGCTGAAATTAGGTCGGAAACAGTTTATCCACTTTTCACTTCAGAGTTTAGCTAAGTTACCTCTCAGTAATTCACTACCTCACAGAGTTTATGTTACTAAGTTTACCACGTGTATTACCACTAGTATTGTATAACATTTAATAGTAACTTTCAAATCATCAAATATGGTCTGCATTTTTTTATTTATTTATTTTTTAAAACATTTAGTAGTGCATATTAGGGTCCAATGGGTAATCTCCCTGGCAATCTCATAACATTCTGTTTACTGTTTATGTTTGCTATAATTCATATGCAGGACAATTTCATGTTTTTCCATTAGTGGCAATAATCTTTATACTGTATTATTATTATGTCTGCAGGTTATGCAACATCATTAATGAAGGCCCTTCGGGAAAGCTACACCAATTCACCTGCGGCTCTTCGAGAGGTTAGCGCCAGTTTGTCCCCATCGCCCCATCGCCACATCCTTCAAACAGGTTCCTGAGGAGGCCGTCAGCCTCTACCTAGCCCGGCAGTCACGCTTCAAGAACCTAATTTCACATTATTTTCTTTCCACAGACAAGTCCAATGGTTTAGTTGTATTTATTTATTTTAGTTGTTAGTTATCTTCTTTCCTTCTGTCCCTGTCATCTCATTTAGTGGTGGTTTCCTGCATTCTGCATGTTTTGTTTTTTTCTTTGTGTGCTGTTTCTTTGGTTTTACTTTGCACAAAATCATTACTTTTTTTTCTTAGGCTATTGATTCCCGTGATCTTGTTTATAAATTCCGATTCAGCCATTAGCCTACCTTCGTGATCACGCAAAGCGGTCTGGAGAGGCGGTCTGTTCAGAATTACAACCAACATAAAATATAAGTGTGCATGTACAAATTTGCAGTAATGTTCGGTAAAAATAAACTTTATTAACATAAAATGAAACCGGAGAGATAGTTAATGATCCATAACTGTTAACGGGATTAATTTCAGCATGGCTAATGTGCCCCTTCTTCCTACCCTAATCATGGACTAAACCATATCAGAAAACACATACAAATACATGTATTTGATGTACAGTACACATGTATATTTGAATCACACATAACTAACCTTAACCCATAAACATAATATATTAATTGTGTGTGTGTGTGTATATATATATATATATATATATACACACACACACACACACACAATTCATTTATTTAAATGGGTTAGGGTTATGTGTTTATATATGCATAGGCCTACATACATATGTGAATATATATTATAAATAATATATACTTCAGGTTACCATAAGTTAGCTAACTTTAATGAAGAGTTGGTCATGTAAGCTATAGCTTGCTGCAATTAATGCATTATCTTCCAATAAGCATTAACTAAAACTGGCTACATAAAATGTACTGACTAGATTCACGAGAGGTCGGCTAATGTGTGTAAAAGTAAAACAATACAGTAATTTCATTAATTTACCAGCTCCACGACACGCGTTAGTTCCTTATTCCAGAGTTCCTATGGCGGTCTATGGGAGTGTCGCAACTCTCTCTCTCTATGGCTCTCTAGACAACACTATTACAGGCTAAAGATTTTTTTGTATAGAGTTGTTTACTTAAAACCTGTGTCTTTGTTCAGTTATCTTTGTCCTTGTTCAGAAAATGTTTAGTAACCATTACAAGCAATGCCAATAAACTGTTTTATTCTTATAAAAATTCATGTGTTCTGTGTACTTTATAACATTTTGAGGGCAATTGGGTGATGACAACAGAATAAGCAATTATATTTTTAAATTAATTTTCATCCAAACGAGGCGATTGAAAGCCCTGATAGGTCTGGTCACGACTTTGGAATTGTTGTCTGATGGTTGAAACCACACGAGAGGCTTCTTCTGCTCTTGCTTAAAACACCATAAGCCCAGCGTATAGCCTGTCTGTATGCACTGTACTGGTATTGCCTAGGGATAAGTAGGAAAGATTCTTAAGTTTTAAACTCTGTAAGTAGGTTGGAAACGTCTCTGATTCATGTTTATTGTGTATGCAACACATCTCCTGTCACCTATAGCTGTTGTTCATGAACATACTCATGCGTGCTGGTTTGAAGGGGACCATTATCTTGCATGAAGTGTGAGTATGCTATGTGTAGCACAAATGGATTCAGGCATTATGCCTCATATCCAGAATGCTGGATATGTACACGTTACATCTGTATCAGTATATTTAAAGTAGCCTGCCTCCTCTGTATGGATAGAAAATTGTTATATTACAAGACACAAATTCAGATAGGCTTCTCAGAGCCTGTTTTATTACAGGTTTGAATGAATGAAATGTCTCTTCTGTATTAGAAAAATAAATATATAATTATTTTAGGTTTGAATGAATGAAATGTCTCTTCTGTATTAGAAAAATAAATATATAATTAAGAAATAACTAAAATAAATACCTCCAAATGTAACAAAAATAGCTCTCACAAACCTACAAAAACGAACTAACAAAATGTATCTAGTTTTCTTCCTCCTTATCCTGTTTTTCTTCCTCATGCTTGTTTGCCCATCTGATCTTTCCCAGAAGTTTTTTGAAAACCAGGACATTTTCATAATTAAAAAAATAAAATAAAAACAGCCAGGACAGGACGTGAAAACAGAAAATGTCCTGGTAAAACAGGACTGTTGGTCACCCTAACCAAGTCTAAAGTCAGTGGCGCGTTGCGTGTACTTTCAGATGCTATTTTATCCGCATGCTTGCAGATACAGAGTGAACAACGCGCATACACATAGTAGATGATTCTCTCATTTACACAGATGCATTTTACTTTTTACAAATGATGCATTATTATAAGGAAAACTATTTAAACACGAGGGAAATCATTGTTGTGTTCATGATGACGATAGGAAAAATAGGCATAAAGCATACACATTTGCCCAAATTGATATGCATAACCGAAGCTAATATGGGTGGGTTTGTCCCATCCCCAATGTCACTTCTATTTCTTTTACAGCCCTGACGAGAACATCGATCTCCTCGGCTTTGAACCATCAGACTTTACTGTGAACCGATTCTGAAGCGCGCCGCTGCCTGCAGCCTGCAGCTGCGTCTGCCTCATGTGACGTCATCGCCGAGTCGCGTGAAAAATAACCGTCACTAAACAAAAGCTACAAAAACGGGACTTTAACACCATTTTTGAGATATTTCTAACTTCATATACATATCTTAACTGCTTTATGTACCCATTAATCGACAGTAGTGTTTAACCTGCACCATGGCCTTTAAGTTATCTTGAGTAAAACCGCAAAAAATTTCATGAAGCAAATACAAAAGACCTTGACCGGAAGCGATGCGACCTGTTTTACAGAGAATGCGGAAGTAAGTTGTGCATAAAGCCTATTGGCAATTCCTTCTGGCAAACTCACTTTAATGTCAAGTGCATTTTGTGGCATTTAATGAAAGTATCATCATCACACCGAGATTAACAGGACCACACATGATCAACCAGAAGGTAAACAGTGGCGATTCCCACCAGACCAGACAGAACTAGCCGAACCAGAGCCTCAGTGCCGCAACAACGCTCGGCACAGTCTGAAACAGAAGAGACTTGTTCATAAACATCTGTATTGACATGTGTTTGTAGAGACAGAAGCTGCACAGAGCGTGTTGTGGCCGGAAGCTTCGTGTGGTCGTGTTTTATAGGCTACCTGTGTTTGGAGGGTAAAGCTCTCTCGTCTGGTTTGTCGTGATGCTCGTCGGTGATGAACCTGTCGACAGACAGTTCAAAGGAAAAATAGTCTCTAGTCTTGAATTTATACACTCAACATGGGCTCACATCTAAAAGTCGTATCCGTATTTTTGTCTATTGGTCTTTCAGACTACAAACACAAAAGTAGGTCTCACCCTCTGATCTAGAATCTGATCTATATCGATCAGTGCTCTGACCTTGCTCTGTCTGAATCATCAGCAGAGAATGAGACGGACTGAAGGACTGTAGATTGTTGTACAGTGAAACACACATATTTAATAGCCCAATATTACCAGACAACTGACGCTTGCATTAGTATTGTTTATTACAAATAAAACTTACCATATACATCAACGTAGAACTTCCGCTTTGAGATCTGTCTGTTAATAACAATGAATGCTTCAAACGGTCCAGATTCATTGGTCCTGATGTTTGAGATGGATAAAGCTCCAGTGGTTTGGTCAATCTGCACTCTGCCAGCGAATCTCTCATCATAATGTGTGTAAGTTTTCCCTTGATGTATCTGTGCGACACGACTCGGATTGTCTCCTTCATAAGACCACAGTATCTGAAAGTTGTCTGTCAGATCAATTCCTGGATGTAGATGTAGAACCTCTCCCTCCTTCACTTGAACTGTTAAAACATCAGCCTGGCCACACACTGAACAATATGAACACATTTGATTTGAGTTACAAATAACACACGCTTGCCATCTAAACTAGATGTTGCTTAGCAGTCAATTATGCAGAAACCACAATGGAAATACTTGAGGCAGATGGCTATCTATCTATCTATCTATCTATCTATCTATCTATCTATCTATCTATCTATCTATCTATCTATCTATCTATCTATCTATCTATCTATCTATCTATCTATCTATCTCAAATTTACTAAAAATATGTCATGGTGTGCAATTTAAAAAATAAACAGGTTTATGTAGCACAGCAGCTGAGTTGCAAACAATTTAATGTTAAACACATCTATTATATTTTTGATTACATTTAAGTTAAGCAGTCGTGACCACAGAAAAATAGAAAAAATATAAGATTTAAAATATCTTACCATCCACACTGATGAAAAACACGATGTAAACCCACATTTGAACAGGCATTATATATTAATATAAGTGATGTTATTAATCTTGATAATGCACTGGAGCTCGAGCTCGTCTGATGAACATTTAGAGATTGTAACTGATTTTCATCAGGAAGTGACACGGGTGATGATGAATCCACTGACTCCATTAGATGGCACCAAAACCACTCACAATTAATCACAGCTTTTCTCTCACTGACTTATCAGTGATTCAGATTATGCCATGTTATTAGCATTAAACTTTATGTTAAGTTTCTTAAAATTAAACACAGTTAATACCGCCTCTTTTTATTTTTTAGCCTTTCACGCTTTACAAGGTTCAATTATTGCACTTCTACTGTTCAGTTTGTAAGCTCCCACCAGGCCATATTATTTAAAACAACAATATTGCTTATCATGCAGAAGACACCGAGATCTAGATTTATCGCCAGTGACTTCAGTCCCAATCCCATAGACTCCCATGTGAAACTAACACCTGGATGTGCAAAAATACTCTTCAGTTAAATAAAGACGAAACAGAGGTCATTGTATATGGCAATAAAGTATTAAAGGTGAATGAATATCTTGACTTTCAGGGTCTAGAAACTAGTCATTAAGTCATAATTCTCAGTTTCATCCTGCAGTCTGATAGAAGACACATCAAAACCAGAACTATTCCAGCCTACTAAAAACATAGTACGAGTCAGATCTTCTGTGCTAAGAAGTTTATTCATGCATTCATTACCTGCAGGGTATATTGCTTATATTTAGTAATATTAGCATCGATAGATACCTTTGAGTTGAGAATAAAAAACAGTTTCTGTTTCAGAGCTGTACCGATCACACTGCACTGTTAAAATCTCCTCTTCCTTTTACATCCCTCATATTCATTTTAATCTACGTTTTAGCCATTTTTACTTCTTTCTTTTATTGTATTTTTTTTTTTACATTTTTTATTTTTATCATTGCTATTTTTTCCCAAATATTTTTTTTTTTCTGTGAAGCACTGGATTACCATAGTGTAATGTGCTATGAATAAAATTGCCTTGCCAAGCCTAACAACTTAATCAAGTTTGCCCACTTTCATTTAAATGCCGCTTATTTTTTATATGCTGTGTTGAAATATTGAAAATATTAAATTGTGTTGAGTACATCGGTATACAGCATGAATTGAAACCATTAAATGTAAATGTTCCAGTAACTTGACCAGTGAACACAACCACCTAAAACAATCTTCTGCTTGTGAAAAGAAAATATTTCTTTCCTTCTACTGAAGATGAAGAACACAATGAAAACACACACGCTGATGGTCATTTTGAACAGTTATCAGAAACTATTTAGTGTAATTTCTCTTGATGAAGCTCCCAAAGAAGTGACTGATCTGATTAACATTCAGTATGCAGTCTTTAACTTTCTTCGGGAAGAGATACACTGGCAATGAAACCAGTTACATCCATGGCATTAAAACCTTTCAATTATGAACAACTAATCACAGTTTCTCTCTCGTTCTTATCTCTCAATGAATGAGACTATTTAAATAGGCTAAGTAAATTTTAAAAACTCGCTTTAATCATGATATAGCCTATAATCTACTATCTATGTAATCTTATTAGGCTTTGCACTCAGTATCTGTGGATAAAATTCAAATCTCTTTTTAATGTTTCCATTGGCCTTCATCGTGTAAAGAGATGATAATGTGTGCATTCATGCTTCTCAATTTGAACCTTTGTCACAGGTTTCTCAGAAGCGGAAGTCGTCATGGATGAGCTAGAGACAACATTTGCTCAAATAACAAAAGAAAAACTCCACAATTGTGTTTTCAGAACTTTCAAAAATATGATAAAAAAAAATAGAAAGAGAGAGATTGATAACGGCAGTCAGAAGAGAGAAATATGTAAACTTTACAGTCCGTGACGATCCACTCCCAAAGATCGTCCCTAGTAACTTTTTTCTTTTGTAATTTTATGTAAAGGTAATATAATACAAAGTGTTATAAATGTACAGAGTTACATTCATAAAAAAAAAAAAATAAAATAAAAAAAAATACTTTTCAGGATTTAAGATGCTGATGACCGTTAAAACGCGTCATCACGATCTGTGAAAAGGGTCTACATCAGTGAGACAAAAAAGGAGTCTGTTTACATACGGTAACGTTACTATAATACTTGAATGTGTTTGATGTATTGAAATTGCTGTGGTGGATTAGAAAAGTGGAAAAAGTTGTTGTTAACGTGGTTTCTGTTTGAATTGTAGGCCTAGCCTAAACAACGCAATGTCATTCATGTTCGTGCCGGTTTGTGCTAGACCTGTGTTTCAAAACCAGATGAATATAAAGAATTAGCCTAATAGAAATCATTGGGAAACATCATGTGCTCCATTGTAAGATAATGTATAGGCTAATGAAGGCTAGTTAACGGCTGATTTATAAATTTACCGGCACCCAGAAGTTCGTTTTGATTTGTGCGCGATCAGACAAAAGATAGTGAAAGAAAACAAGATAATTTTACCGACTGCCTGCGTGACATGACTAAACGTGAAATTTTTAAAACCGGCTTTGCGAGTATTTTTGAGGGTAGAGGATGAGAGAGCACACCCACACGACACAGGTGTTTATCATCTTCCGTCTACCGAACAAACTTTTGCTTTCGTTTTTTTTTAACGAACATGTAGGCTAATGGCGTCCTGTTCAGGTAAGAATCACATCTAATGCTGGAGAATATTTCGGAACAAGTAGGCTATTTTAAAGGCATCATGTACGGAAATGTACTTTTCTTCTATTTTAATCCAATGAAGCAACGCAGTTGCTTACGTTTTATTTAAAATTGCTTGAATATTAACGTAGTGCGGCTTGTGGTAAATGTGAAGCCTAATTAATAATAATGAGGCTAAGTTTTTTACCACGTGAAATCATATGATATCACAGTTTTCAGTAACATTTAACTAAATGATCACCTTTATCAATTGGTGTACCCTTTTATCTTCACAACACTTTATCCAATCGATGGATAAATATGGTTTATAAATTTTAAAAATGCTTTTTATGGCAAATGAGTGGGCTGATTACTAACTACGTTTACCCTTTTTTGAAAGAAAGAATATGATGAGGTGGATTAATAAATGTTGACAAATTGTTCTTTTTGTGGGAAATTTTTCAACAGAATTTTGTAAAAGAATTTGTGAAATTTCAAATTCCATGTTATTTTATTTGCAGTTACAAGAGGACAGCGGAGTCTATCTCTTGACCGACCTAATTGTAAGTAAAAATGAAATGGTAAATCATAAAATTCAGTGCTGCAAATATCATCAAAATCCTTGAGAAACTGTGTGTGTATCAGGGAGGTTTATAGAAAGGAATGTGTTTACTTTTCCACTCATCATAATGGTAGTTACTCAACTGGTTTGGGTTGTATCAGCCGTTCGCAAGTTATTTCTTAAGTTGGAACGTAGATGCATGTAAAGAATGTTTGGAATGTTAAGTCCACATTGAGGCTTAGTAACTACTAGCTAGTTAACTAACTGTAACCATTTTTTGTAAGGCAGAACTTAGCTAAAATGGTCGTAAGTTCTCATGAAAGTAATGCGTAGTCGCATGATTTGACGTTTACCGAAGATCCAATTCATACTGTGCACGTAAGGTCACAAGTACTGGTTGGCGGGCAAGAATGTCGTTCTCTTGCAATGAAACCCAGTAAACTAATAATAACAATTTCTTGCCAGGACGTTGCTAGTTTCACTATACAAAAGTTGGTGTTTTGAGGTTTGTGATAAATAAAAAAATCAATAAATAAATATTGATACAAAAAAACATAAGAAATTACGTCTATTGATTATGACATGCACAGCATGGAGCGATGGGACCAATGCACACAGCAGTGATGTTTAGGACAGGTTTGTGTTGATGAGCCGCTAACAAAGTCTTTTCACATAATGTTCTCCCCCCTATTGAAATATAAGCGAGTGTAAATGTCAGCATTATCATATATGTCAAAAGAATTGAAGTCTGAGGTAAAAGAAGAGATTATTGATTCAGTTCATGCTGCCTGCTATTTTAGTCCAACCATTACTCCTGATCGGAGGCTGCCGTAAATATTTAGTTTATGTTACACTTCAACAAAGTTTAATAGCGCAACGCAAAAATACTTAGAAGTACGCAAGTCATAACTAAGTTTCCATTTACGTCAAAACTAGGCTACGTTGTAACTTACGAACAGCTGGTGCATCTGGCCCCTGGTCCAGGAACTGAAATATGCAATTTGAGAGCATTATTGCTAATGGGTTCAATTGGTGAGTATTACTGTTATGTGTGATCTGTGTTCCAGTGAGTGATTTGAGGATTGTTCTGCTGGGGACGAATGCAACAGAAAACAGCAGAGTGGGAAACTTCATCTTAGGAAGAGCAGCGTTTGAGAGTGAAACTCCTGCTGATGTAGAACTACACACAGAGAAACACAGAGGAAAACTGAAGGACAGAGACATCAGAGTCATCAACGCTCCTCAACTGCTGCAACCACATCTGTCAGTCTCTCAGATCACACAGGAAGTGAAAGAGTGTGTGAATCTGTCTGCTCCTGGACCTCATGCGATCATACTTGTCCTGCAGCAGAACGACTTCAGTGAGAATGACAGTAACAGACTGAAACATGTGCTGAATGTATTCAGTGAGGAGGCTCTTAAACACACTATAGTGCTGACCAATGAGGAAGAGATACACAATAACTGTATTAATCAATTCATGAATGAATGTGGAGGTGGACATCTTCAGTTTAATGAACAAAAAACAGAATGGCACTCTGAGATACTCGAAAGAGTAGAGAAGATACTCAAAGAAGAAGAGGTTCAGTTTCTTGTCTGTGACTTGTATGAGGAAGCAGGAGAAGAAGCATCAGAGGATGAAGAGCAGAGCAGATCTGGAGTTTCAGTCACAGCAGAAGAAGAGGGAGATCGTGATCATGAGGATATTCAAATCATACAGAGCGACAAAGAGAAAAAGGTGGATGCTGTCCAAAGAAATACCTTGTGTAAGTTTTGTTGGCTAGTAAGTAATAGTTAAGTAACAATAACCCTCACACAAACATCACTCCCTTCAAGATAAAGACTAATTTGAGAAAATAAAAAAATGTATGTTATGGTGAGGACATTTTTCTACCGGTTAATCGACATGTGACAACACCAGTAAAACCTGTATCCCCTCTTTTCCACCACGCTTTTAAATCGCTTATGAATGCCCGTGCGACAGTGGGTTTAGCAGCAATTCAGGTGCGGCATTAGCTGGAATGGTGGACTCATTATTGTTCTTAATGAAAAACAGAACATCAAAACAGTACAATGACAAACTTGCTTATATTAAACATATAACTTATTATTAATTCATTTCGTTTAATTTGATAGGGACAATGCTCATTGATCAACAAACAAGTTAATTGCTATAAACAAGCCAGAGTTAACTACAGGTGCTAGTTTCCATCTGTTGTCCCTAGACAAGTCTTAACAGGCACCCTAAAATACAAAAGTCAACAAAAACACACAATAACATACATTTAATAAATACTGTAGCAATGTAATAAATACAGCAGGAGTATTTGGTATATGGTTACAATTGTAATTGTCCCTAATCCAAGATTTAAGTTGTTTTTTTTTAAAAGAGGAGAGGTTTTTTATTACACTCCCTTAACTCATTGGGCAGACTATTCCAAAAAACAAACAAAACAAATAGGACCGCTTTATTAGCAAAACCAACATGAGATCATGACTTCTGCGTAAACATACACGCCACTTTTGTTATCTCTAGTCTACACATTTTGAGCTATCCGCGTGTATGTGTACGCCATTAACGTGACGTCCGCATCATTCCGCGTGTCTGTACACGCCGTCAAATGTCTGAGCGAAACGAAGTAAAATCTTCATCTACATCTGGGGAGCGCAAAACGAATAAGCACACTATACACCATTGAAATGAAATCTCACTGCTGCTGATCTGTGCTGCGACTCTCGGTCGGCACGCTGCATTGAGCAGAAATACGTTCAGTTTTTAATTATAGTGTCTGTTCTCTAACCATAAGTTATTTTTATTACTATAAAAAAATCGAAAAGTCGGTGGGGCAGTGCTGTGGTGGGCAAGTGATGTAATCGATGTGCGCTTGAACACCAGTAACACCAGCAAGTAACACAGTCAACTTCGCGAATACAGGAAGAAGCCATCTTTGAAAAATAGTCTCTACCAGTCGATCTACGAACACTGATCCATGTGCGCTGAACTGTGCAGAATCTCATATGGTCTGTTGTTTCCGGAAGAAACACGAACCATTTTCTTCTCTTCAATATGTACATGTAGACTACTGTTCGCGCTCACCTTATCACCTCATTCACATCTCACCAGCGCACTTGGATCGGCGTTCGTAGATCGACTGGTAGAGACTATTTTTCAAAGATGGCTTATTCCTGTATTCGCGAAGTTGACTGTGTGTATAAAATATCTTCTTATTAAACTGTATGGACACTGACAAAGTTCTCAATGCTTCGGTTTGTATGCAGGGACCCTTATTATGCTACCGTGTTACTGTGGGGCTATTTTGAGCCTTGTTAGTGGTAATAATAAGCGATTTTTATTTGTCATTACTCTATGTCCTATATTCTAGCATTATACTAGCGTTATAGGCTAAACTGTTTTTAGAGATAAAACTATTCATTTACATTCGGCAATCATGAAAACAAATCTCAGATAACGGTTGACTAGGTAACAATGTGTAATTAGACCAAAGGTTCATTTTGCGTTCAAGTTGTCCTTTAAAGATAATGTTCAAATACGTTGTTGACTTAGATCAGATGTAGACATCCTTGTTTAATTTATCCACGTTTAGTTGGTGTTGTGGTCTACCGCATAACTTAGTCTAGAGCAGACACTTATCTCAGTTGAGATGTGGCTTGGGAAAGGGTAAAAAATACACACCGTTGCCCAGCCTCTCGGGATACCTACCTCTCGGGTTAACTGCGATACGCGCTGCACTGATTGCAACGGCAACTCGTGCTGGATGAGCAGAGCAGACTCTAACATTCGTTTATAATGTTTTTTATTTTTTTATATAAACAGCAAAACAATAGTTTAGGCGAATGTGAGAGTGTAGCGGTGGATGGAATATTCTATTGTAATCTCACCCTCACGCTCAGTAATGGCGATATCGCGAGACAGCTTTTCACTCAACGGGAAATCTCTTCATGTGTTTGTTTCGCGAGATCTCGTGGCACCCCTATAAACTACAATTGTGCATCATTTCATAAAGGTCATGTTTTTATTAGTTTGCATGTTTTCTGCATTCTTTAATGACTAGACTATATAATTGCTGGCATTCACTTTGTGTGTTTATATAAAGCACAGCAAACTTCAACTCGTTGAACAAATTTCACCTTGCAAAGCTTTAAAACGGTGTATTTTACAAATTTACTAATTGTTTACTGAAAAGGTGATTGTTCTAACTACAATCGCCTACATAGGCGAAATTTGTTTTACATATCTATTATCTACTCGTAAACACAGCCATGTTGAAGCCTGCAGTAATGTTTTTCTTTGATGTTATGGCAGCTGTAGCCTGATGTCATCATACTGAGATTCTAGTCAGAATGTGAGTGATACTGCTCCATTGGGCTGTGATTATGGGGTGTGTTTCAACCGAACCAGGAAATAAAATGCCTTTGCACTCAATTGGATAGACCAAATCCCGTAGGAGGGATGGCAAAAACATCTTTCCCATCGACAAATTCCTTGACAAAGGAATCCTTGACAAATTCCTTGTCTACATCTTCTATAACAGACGCAATGGCTGAATCTTCACATCTAAATTCTCCAGCGGCAGCCATTCTTTGTTGTAAATTAATTCAACCCATGCGCTCTTTGGTGACATGGATGATTACGTTACTGTTGATCATCTGTCCATCATAGCATAAAGGCCGCACTGACAATTTGATTGGTCTGAACAGCTCTGGTTTGGACATTGTTTCACAATGGATCAAGTCCAGACCGAACTTCCCATCCTCCAATGTTGTGGGCGAGGCTAAATTCTGCTGGCATCCAGGCTACTCTTGTTTGTCATTGTGCACGAAACATCATGTCAATAAATCATCAGAAATATTGCTGACATGTGTGCGTCTCAAGCACTCTCTTTACATTTGTCCTAATGCCTGTTAGTTGTCCGTGGATTTGCCTGTATTTGGCGTTGAAAATGGAAACGTCTTTAGACATGGAAAATCGATTTTACAATCGATGCAATAAACACGTATGTCTCAAAAATCGAACAGGATTTTTCACAAAAGTGACAGCCCTAGTTGTTGCACATGATATAATGACTTGTTGAAGATTTATTAATAGTTATACCATGGTCTGGGTGAATACTCGATTCTGATTGGCTGCAGGGTGTCCGTTAAAAAGTGATAGAGGACACCTAGTAAAGTAGTTCTGGTGAAACTGCCTGTTTACCATTCGAAATTAATAAATAAATTCGCTGCCCACAACAGCTGTGAGTAACCATAGCAACAGGCAGTCAAAGTATCCGTTAACAATTTGCTTTATCAAAACAAACATCTAACGTTAGTTAGATATTACATAGCCTACTAATACAACAATGAGTGACTTCGTTATTTCTTTTAACATTTATGGAGAATATGACAACTTTGACGACTGGGATGCTGCTGAAGAAAGAAAAAATGTAAATAAAACGGAGTAACGTCGCAAAGAAAATTACACCGCTGCTGCTCTGAATGAGACCTGCGGGAGTTTTACGCAGCAGTCCAGACAACCAAGGCAAGAGGAGAGTACAGCGTTTCAAGCCTAAGAAGCCTGTTTGATTAATTGTTTTATGTGTAATTAAAAAAAATAACTATGCCTACCTTTGTGTTTCATGAAAAAAAATGCATTTTTGAACCTGAAGGGTTCTACAAGCTGAGCGGACTATAAATATCTCCGGTTGCTAAATAAACCAGGCGAGTTATTATTTGTAAAAACTTGATTTATTAAAATATAAACTAGCAGCGGAGCTATTTGTAAAATATAAACTTCGGCGGAGGCATCCGCTGCGCGTCGGCCGGTTCACGCCTCGCCGTCGTCCATTAAAACCTGACAATGGACACCTCGTCGGGCATTAACCCATACTTATTGTAGAGGTGATCATTAAATTTGAATTCATAAACTGTATAAATCACATGGCAATTTTATGTAACTCATGTAGTTGACTCACTAGCAGCGGAGACTAGCAAAATACTAGCACAATGACTCAAGCAGTTTTCTCTTTTTCAGATGCAATAGAGGATTCAGATGATGTGAGGATTGTCCTGCTGGGAAAAACTGGAGTTGGGAAAAGTGCAACAGGAAACACCATCTTAGGGAGAGAAGTGTTTATTGAAGACGTGTCTCAAGAGTCAGTTACTAAAGAGTGTAAGAGAGAGACGGCTGAGATTGATGGTAGACTCATTACTGTGATTGACACTCCAGGACTGTTTGATACTAAACTCAGTCAAGAAGAGATCCAGACAGAAATCACCAACTGCATCTCCATGATTCTGCCTGGACCACATGTGTTTCTGTTACTGATACCAGTGGGACGATTCACTCAGGAGGAGGAAAATGCTGTCAAGATCATTCAGCAGACTTTTGGTGAAAACTCCCTAATGTACACTATTGTGCTCTTCACTGGAGGAGATAATCTGAAGAAGAAGAAGAAGACTATTGAAGAGTATCTGGATACACCTGAATCTGCTTTGATGAAGCTCATCAGACAGTGTGGAAACAGATATCATGTGTTCAATAATAATGAGACTGGAGACCGTGTGCAGGTGTCTACATTACTGCAGAAGATCAATGACATGGTGACAGCAAATGGAGGGGGTTACTACTCATGTAAGAGGTTCAGACAGATGGAAAGAGAGAAACAAGAAGCACGGATGAAGATACTAATGGACGAAGTGGAGGAACTAAAGAGAGAGAGAGAAGAACTGCTGGCCAAACATGAAGAAGAGAAAGAGAAAATAAACATGAAGATTGAGGAAGAAAGAAATAACCATGATGCAGAGAAGAAGAGAAGAGAAGAAGAATTTGAGAAAAAGATGGAGAAAGAACAAAACATGTGGGATGAATCTTATCAGAGACTTAAAGTAGAGAGAGATGAAATCAAAAGAGAGAATGAGAGATTTAAAAGAGAGAAAGAAAATCTTCAGGTCAAACATGAAGTAAAAATAGAAAGCATGAAAACAAAGATGGAGGAAGAAAGACAGAATCATGACACAGAGAGGAGGAAGAGAGAAGAGGAAATCAGAGAAAATGAAGAAAAATACAAAAGAGAAATTAAAATAGAACAAGAGAAATGGGAGAAAAAGATACAAGAGGAAAAACAGAGAGGAGAAGAAGAATTTGAGAAAAGGAGGGAGAAAGAAAAAAACATGTGGGATGAATCTTACCAGAGACTTAAAGAAGAGAGAGATGAAAACAAAAGAGAGAACGATAGAATGAAAAGAGCGAAAGAAGATCTTCATGTCAAACATGAAGAAGGAATAGAAAAGATGAAGAAGTTGATGGAGGAAGAAAGACAGAATCATGACACAGAGAGGAGGAGAAGAGAAGAAGAATTCAGAAAGAGTGAAGAAAAATACAAAACACAACTAGAGAAATTGGAGACAAAGTTACAAGATGAAAAACAGAGAAGGGAAGAGGAAGATGAGAAGAGGAAGGAGAAAGAACATACTATAAAAGATCAATGTGATGAGAAAATTAAGAGAGAGAGAGAGGAAATCAAAAGAGAAAAGGAGAGGATACAAAGAGAGAAAGAAGATCTTCAGGCCAAACATGAAATAGAAATAGAAAACATGAAAACAAAGATGGAGGAAGAAAGACAGAATCATGACACAGACAGGAGGAAGAGAGAAGAAGAAATCAGAGAGAATGAAGAAAAATACAAAAGAGAAATTAAAATAGAACAAGAGAAATGGGAGAAAAAGATGCAAGAGGAAAAACAGAGAGGAGAAGAAGAATTTGAGAAAAGGAGGGAGAAAGAAAAAAACATGTGGGATGAATCTTATCAGAGACTTAAAGAAGAGAAAGATGAAATCAAAAGAGAGAATGAGAGAATAAAAAGAGAGAAAGAAGATCTTCATGTCAAACATGAAATAGGAATAGAAAAGAGAAAGAAGTTAATGGAGGAAGAAAGACAGAATCATGACACAGAGAGGAGGAGAAGAGAAGAAGAATTCAGAGAAAATGAAGAAAAATACAAAAGAGAAATTAAAATAGAACAAGAGAAATGGGAGAAAAAGATACAAGAGGAAAAACAGAGAGGAGAAGAAGAATTTGAGAAAAGGAGGGAGAAAGAACAAAACATGTGGGGTGAATCTTACCAGAGACTTAAAGAAGAGAAAGATGATATCAAAAAAGAGAAAGAAGATCTTCAGGTCAAACATGAAGAAGGAATAGAAAAGATGAAGAAGTTGATGGAGGAAGAAAGACAGAATCATGACACAGAGAGGAGGAGAAGAGAAGAAGAATTCAGAAAGAGTGAAGAAAAATACAAAACACAACTAGAGAAATTGGAGACAAAGTTACAAGATGAAAAACAGAGAAGGGAAGAGGAAGATGAGAAGAGGAAGGAGAAAGAACATACTATAAAAGATCAATGTGATGAGAAAATTAAGAGAGAGAGAGAGGAAATCAAAAGAGAAAAGGAGAGGATACAAAGAGAGAAAGAAGATCTTCAGGCCAAACATAAAATAGAAATAGAAAACATGAAAACAAAGATGGAGGAAGAAAGACAAAATCATGACACAGAGAGAAGGAGAAGAGAAGAAGAATTCAGAGAAAATGAAGAAAAATACAAAAGAGAAATTAAAATAGAACAAGAGAAATGTGAGAAAAAGATGCAAGAGGAAAAACAGAGAGGAGAAGAAGAATTTGAGAAAAGGAGGGAGAAAGAAAAAAACACGTGGGGTGAATCTTACCAGAGACTTAAAGAAGAGAGAGATGAAAACAAAAAAGATAAAGATAGATTTAATAGAGAGAAAGAAAATCTTAAGATCAAACATGATGTAGAAATAGAAAAGAGGAAGAAGATGATGGAGGAAGAAAGACAGAATCATGACACAGAGAAGAGGAGAAGAGAAGAAGAATTTAATCAAAAAGAAGAACGATACAGAAAAGATATCAAAGAAAAAGAGGAACAAATGCAGAAACATCAGGACGAAATGTTAAAACAGATGCAAGATGAGTGGAGGAAGCGGGAGGAAGAACAACGTAAGACTTATGAAGACAAAATTAAGTTAATAGAACAACAGAAGCAAGATGAACTACAGAGAGCAAAATCTGCAAACTATGAAGAAGACAGAAGAAAAGACATGGAGAACATGAAACTCTGCTCTCAAACAGCCTCTTCTCTACAGGTGAGTGATCGATGTAAATCAAGGGTTAGGAGCATTTACAGGTTTTACAGCATGGTTCACCAATCTCGGTCCTGGAGGGCCACTGTCACTGCAGAGTTTAGCTTGTTTAGAGTTTAGAGTTTCTACTGATCCTGAAGAAACCTGATTAGCTTGCTCAGGTGTGTTTGATCAGGGTTGAAGCTAAACTCAGTGGCCCTCCAGGACAGAGATTGGGGAACCCTGTTTTACAGTATAACCATTGAGAGTTGAGTATGGGCAACACTACACATTTACAACCTACAAACATAATCTACACTGGACCTTCGAATATAACACCACAGAGAATTATATATTTCATCCTTTTCAAAGGACAGGGCCCTTAGTTTAATTCATTTTGTCTATAATCTCCAAAACGCTTATTGCAAAACTATTTCTTATCTAAATTTTCATTGTCATAGTTTTTTTTATACATATATAAATGTTCTGCCATCTTGAATTTTGTCCAGAACCTACTTTTGCAAACTAGTCCCTGGTTTTTCGCCCGATCGGAACCAAACCATCCATCCATTCATCCATCGCTCCATCCATCCATCCATCCATCCATCCATCCATCTTCTTCCGCTTATCTAGGGCCGGGTCGAGGAGGCAGCAGTCTAAGCAGAGATTCCCAGACTTCCTTCTCCCTAGACACTTCCTCCAGCTCTTCTGGGGGGACACTGAGGCGTTCCCAAGCCAGCCGGGAGACATAGTCTCTCCAGCGTGTCCTAGGTCTTCCCCAGGGTCTCCCACCCAGAACACCTCCCCGGGAAGGCGCCCAGGAGGGATCCGGAACAGATGTCCGAGCCACCTCAGCTGACCCCTCTCGATGTCGAGGAGCAGCGGCTCCTTCCGAGTGACCGAGCTTCTCACCCTTCTCATCTCTAAGGGATCACCCAGCCACCCTGCGGTGCAAGCTAATTTTGGCCGCCTGTATTCGGGATCTTGTCCTTTCGGTCAACTCCTCCACTTAAGGAAGGATCTCTCCACCAACCTGAAGTGAGCAAGCCACCCTTTTCCGACTGAGGACCATGGCCTTGGATTTGGAGGTGCTGATTTTCATCCCAGCCGCTTCACACTTCATGAAGAGAACCGGCGACAAAGGGCAGCCCTGCCGCAGTCCAAAATGCACTGGGAAGAAGTCTGACTTACTACCGGCAATGCAAACCAAGCTCCTGCTTCGGTCATACAGGGACCGGACCCCTGTAGTTGGAACACACTCTCTGGTCCCTCTTCTTAAAAAGAGGGACCACCACCCCGGTCTGCCATCCCAGAGGCACTGTCCCCGACTTACGGCCACAGCTCCGAGCAGCCGCTTCGACAATGAAGGTGGAGAACATGGTCCACTCAGACTCAGTTCCGCCCCTACAGGTGTCACTTTCATTTCCCATGTGAGCGTTGAAGTCCCCCAGTAGAACGACAGTGTCCCCAGTCGGAGCACTTTCCAGCACTCCTCCCAGAGACCCTAAGAAGGCCGGGTACTCTACACTGCCATTTGGCCCGTAGGCACACACGACAGTGAGAGACCTATCATTGACCCTTAAGCACAGGGAAACGGCCCTCTCGTTTACCGGGGTAAACTCCAACACATGGCGGCTGAGCTGGGGGGCTATAAGCAAACCCACACCAGCCCTCGCCTCTCACCACAGGCAAATCTGGAGTGGTGAAGAGTCCATCCCCTCTCAAGGAGTGTGGTTCCAGAGCCAAAGCCATGCGTAGAGGTGATCCCGACTATCTCTAGTCGGAACCTCTCAACCTCACACACAATCTCAGGCTCCTTCTCTGCCAGCGAGGTGATGTTCCACGTCCCTAAGGCTAGTTTCCGTGTCCAGGGATCGGGTCGCCGAGGCCCCTGCCTTTGACTGCCGCCCGATCCTCTTTGCACCGGCCCCTTACGGCTCCTCCTGCAGATGGTGAGCCCATGGGAAGGTGGTCCCACGACGCTCCTTCGGGCTGAGCCCGGCCAGACCCCATGGCGGGACGCCCGGCCACCAGGTGCTCGCAGGCCTGGCTCCAGGGTGGGGCCCCAGCTGCGCCATATCGGGTGACGTCACAGTCCTTGAATTTTTATCTTTCATATGGGGTTTTGAACCGCTCTTAGTCTGACCCGTCGCCTAGGACCTGTTTGTCTTGGGAGACCCTTCCAGGGGCATATAGCCCCAGACAACATAGCTCCTAGGGTCATTCAGGTACTCAAACCCCTCCACCACGTTAAGGTGGCAGTCAAGGAGGGGCCAAACCAGTGCAGAAATGTACGGAGCCAAACCAGTGCAGTAATGTTCTCTGGAGTCTGACAATCAATAGTTATCGAAAAAAAGTTTAAATTTTGCATTTGGTTGGTTATAAAAGGGTAATTTAGAAAATGGTCTGTGGCAAAATACAGTCAAAAGCCAATAAATCCTAAAGGAAAAGTCAGAACTTCACAAAAATTGATGAGCAAATGTGTCATAACATGGTGAAGAAGCATGCCAAGTTTCATGGAGATCCGACATTAGGTGGCGCTATAACTGTCAGAAAGGTTTCATTCTTATTAGGTGTTCAAGCACTTTAGTGATGAAAATCTTTTGTAATTGTTAGTATTTTTTTGAAAAAATAAATAAATAAATAAATTCCCCTAAAACGCATCGTACAACCTAAACCGTAAGTGCTATATATATATATATATATATATATATATATATATATATATTATATATTTTTTTTCTAATCTGTGTATCAGGCTATTATCTCTGCTAAAGTGACGATAACAAATTACATTTATATGTTTTATGTGAATCTGTTTATGTATTTACAGTGTGATGGATCACGGGGTGTACTACTTTATTTTTCCAGTAGGTGTCTCTGGGTAACACTTTTTGTGTCCTCAGGTTAATTGCTGTGAAACAGGTGTGGAGAATTGATGGTGATTTACCATGCTGCTCATAAGAAGCTGGAGGATAGCTGCTGGGGCGGCTTGGAGTTTGGTCTTGCTGCTTGGTTGTCCTGACTTTCTCACCCTCTCCAGTCCAAGGCTTGATGATGTTGTTTGTTAACTTTATGTTTTATGGTATACTTTAATGTTCTTGTTTTGATTAAATATCAAATTTGTGCAAATTTGATTACGTTGTATGGCCTCTCCATTCATGTTGCTGCTCCTTGAGCCAAGGGGTTGTAACATATGGGGGCTCGTCCTTGATTTGGTTAATTCTTGAATTAGGATTATGTTTTGGTTAATTCTTTAAGTGGAATTATGATTGGTTAATTCTTTTAGAATTATGGTTTGGTTAATTCTTTAATTAGAGTTATTATTTGGTAAATTCTTTAAATAGAATATTTGGTTTGAGGAAATTGGATTGGATTATTTTTTTTGGACAAACAAGTTGGGGAGTGTCATACAAAAAGTTTTGTTTGTTTATTTTGATTAGTGGTTTTGGACTGGAGAGAGAGAAAAACCAACTTATAGTCGCACTGACTTGCTTGGAGGTTGCGGTTTAGACTGCAATAAGCCATATAACCCCGTGTTAGGCTGAAGAGCGCTTAACGCTTTTTTATTTTATTTTAGTTTGTTGTGTTTGGTACGTCGGACGCGGGTAGACTGGTTAGCAGTTGAGCTGCATGTGGACGTACTGAAGACTAGGGTTGAGATAATTAGTTGTTTATGTATTAGTTAGATACGGGGTGGCTTTTCCTCTTGCAGTGGAAGTGTGATCAGTCGGATTTGGTGAGTTGTCTATTTATTTGTTTGTTCAAAAGTTTTTAGTAACAACAAACTAAGGGAAAAATGGACTTGTTACAGGATTTTTTAACTGCTCCTACGATGGAAAAATTAGAGCGTCTTTCAAAAGCGCAATTATTTAAAGTAGCTGAACATTTTGATCTTGAATTAGCTTTAACAAAAAGTACAAAGATTCAACCTCTTCGAGAGGCTGTAGAGGAGAAGTTGAGGGAGATATTGATGTTAACTTCAGAGACACAACCTGACGAAGAGTTGACACCTGCAGGAAATTCGACACCTCGGCCGTTGTTAGAGCCTACCAGGTTAACATTTGAACAACAGTTGGAAATCCTTAGTATACAAAATAAAGAACGTGAATTAGATAGACAATTTGAATTGCAGAAATTGAAAATCCAAGAGCGAGAACAAGAACGAAAATTTGAGACTTTTAGAATGCAACAAAAAATGGAAGAAGCTAAATTAGAACAGGATGCAGAACGGTTAAAATTGATCGGACAAGGAAGGCTTTATGGTGGTAATGTTGATTCCTTGGATGAGCAGGAACTTGCGGGGGCGAGTGGAAATCGTATGACCAGTTTACTGCAGATGATTAAACTCTTGCCTAAATTTAATGACCGGGATCCGGATGTGTTTTTTTCTCTGTTCGAAGGCTTGGCTGAGGATAGGGGTTGGAACGATGCTGAATGTACGCTCTTACTACAAAGTGTTTTGGAAGGTAAAGCTCAAGAAGCCTTCATCTCACTTTCTTCTGAAAATCGGAAAAACTATAAGGTAGTAAAAGAGGCGGTGTTAAAAGCATATGAACTTGTCCCGGAGGCGTATCGGAGACGTTTTAGGGGATGGAAAAAGGATGAGCGTAAAACACACGTTGAAGTAGCAAGGGAATTGACCAGCCTTTTTAATCGTTGGCGTACATCATTGTGTGTTAGTACATTTGAACAGCTTTCTGATCTAATAGTATTGGAGCAGTTTAAAAACATTATCCCAGAGCGTGTCGCGATGTATGTAAATGAACATAAGGTGACAACGGCTGCTGAGGCTGCCATTCTTGCGGACGAATATGTACTAATTCATAAAAGCGCCAGTGACTATTTGTATAAAAAGCCAAATAACAGCGGAAATGCAGTGAGGATGAGTTCTAACAAATCAGAACATGTTAGGAAAGTGGATCCAGAGTCGAGTTGCAGGTATTGTTTGGAGAAGGGTCACTGGAAAAAAGAGTGCCCTGTATTAAGAAATAAGTTCAAGTCCGGGGTTCCAAAAGCTGTTG